TGCATGAGCGACTGTGCACAGCCTTTCTGAGGGTGGTGCCCAATGGGGCTTCTGTAGGAGCCTGGGTGAAGACGCCCTACTTGCTAGTCTGGTGAGGTCCCAGACCAGCCGGTCCCTCCTTCCAGGGGCCACCTGAACGAAGTGAAAGTTGCTCAATCAGCCGAGGGTTCGAGAGCGCTCCATCCCAAAACTGGGCAGATTCCCAGGGTGCAGCGCCCGGCCCTGGCACATAAGTCGCTCCAGGGCGCTCCCAGCCCGGAACCGCAAACCCGATCCCCACCCTCTTGCCCTGCGGGAGGGCACCTTCCGAGGCCTCCCAGCGGACCTTTCCCAGCCCTCGGGGCACCCATCTCGCCACCAGGGCAAAGCGCGGCCGGGACGCGGTGCCTCCCATCCTCGTCCCCACGAAAGAGGTGCAGGGGAGGAAACCTAAATAAAAGCAGGAAATTCGATCTTTAAAAAAAAAAGCCTCATTCAGACTGAGTTACCGGTAAGAGTATTAAAAAGAAGAAAAAAAGAGTTCGGAAATGCAAAGCTGGAGGCGGTTTTGCCGCTGTAACCCCGTCTCCGCCGCAGATCCGGGGGCTGATTTCCGCGCGGCTGCAGTAAACACGCGGCGGGGCGGGCCGGAGACGGACCCGGCCGCAAGTCCACGAGCCCGGGGCGAGCGCCCGGCACACCTCGACCCCGTTCTTCTCCAGCCCGGGGCCCCGCCCGCCAGAGCTGGGGGGACGGGCCGGGCCGGGGCGCCCGGACGGTGTGCGCGCCCATCTGCCCGCGCCTCCGCCGGAGCCTGGAAGTCGGCACCGCTGGGGAGACGCAGCCTGCACCCCGCCGCGCGGCCGGGGCGCCCCCTCCACCGGCTCGCCTGTGCTCGGGGCAGGGCGCACTTGGCCGAGCGCTTCCCATCTCCCGCGCCTCGGAGGTCGCCCTAGCACTGGGAGCGCACCCCGGACCCCGCCGCCGGCCCAGGGAGCTCCTGGGTCGGACTCCGCAAGGCGCTTCGTACAGGCACAGGGGGGCTGTTTTCGTCCCTCTAGGAGGGCGCACCGGGGGTGGCTCCAGGCCCCGAGCTCAGCCTCGGCCCAGGTCCCAACGGCCGGCCTTAGGGGCGCCCCTTGCCGGGCTCGCTAGACACGGGGATGCGCATTGGAGCAGGGCGCACCGGCCGTGCGCGTGGGAAGACCCCTGCGAGCTGGCCCCACGGCTTCGCGAGGCTCCCCGAAGCCCTTGTCCCCAGTCCCCTCTCCTACCTCCCCAGATGCAGCCAGAGGCGAGCTCTTACCGGTCCCGGCGCAGCTGACAGAGCTGGGTGGCTCGGCCCGCGGCCGCCCGGAGTGAGGGCGCAGGGCGCGAGTGAGCCTCGAGGGAGGGAGGCGGGGCGCGGTTGGGGCGCCCCGCCTGCTGACAATCCGCACACTCCACTTCCCACTTTGTTTCCTTTTTACTTGCAACAGGAAAAACAACAGGTCCTCCGCAGCCTCATCTTCCCCCTCACCCTCCCCACTTCCCCAACCCCACCCCTTGTCTTTATCTGGAGGGGCATCACCCCAGGTGCCTCTGGAAGTTGCCCCTAGGACACAAACGTACTTGCACACAAAGGAAAACAGCCAAATAAAGGTCCCAGGAGCCCACAGACCCCGCCTCCGCGGCCCTCTCCATTTACACACCCAAAGAACTTCCACTGGAGCAGGTTAAATGCTCAAAGTCCACTCAGCTCGGCTCTGGGGAAAAGTAGTGGCCTCCATGCTTTGTTGAGTCCAGAGGCTGGGGTCTGGGGACTAGCCCCCCTACCCCCACCCCCAGATTATAACAGTGACTTCACATCCCTCTAGGGGATGGTGGAGGAGTGAGCAGGTCAATTGCTTAATCTGTCAATGTAAGAGAATTTTTTTATTTTTTTATTTTTTGTATCCTCACCAGAGGACATGTTTTCATTTTTTGTTCAGATAGAGTGGGGTGGGGGTGGGGGGGGGTGAGAGTCAGAGAGACATCGACGTGAAAGGGACAAATCGAGTGGCTGCCTCCCTCACGACCCAACCACGGCCGGGGACAAACCGCAACTGAGGTACGTGCCCTTAGAGAGGAACCGAACCTGGGTCTCTCCAGACTGCAAGCAGACACTCTAAGCGCTGAGCCAAACCGGCCGAGGCGTTAAGAGAATTTTTAAAAGAGTATATTTGAGTCTAACTGAACACACATGCCTGAGAGTAGGATCACAAAGCTCCACAGAATAACAGTTTTGCAGTTTCTTCTATGCATTTGAAGTTAAGGAGGGCCCTGGCCGGTTTGGCTCAGCAGTCAGAGCATCTGGTCCAGGACCCAGGGTTGCAGGTTCGATTCTCTGTCAAGGGCACATACCTGGGTTGCAGGTTCCATAGATTCCCCAACCCAATGGGGGCCATTCGGGGGGCAACCAATCCATGTGTCTCTCTCAAATCAATGTTTCTCTCTCTCTCCCACTCCCTCCCTCTTTTCCACTCTCTCTAAAAACCAATGGAAAAATATCTTCAAGTGAAGATTAATAACAACAAAAATGTCCTATGCCTGGGGCATGGCTACCCACCATGATGAGCCCATTAAGAATTTATGATCAGATCACCCTGTGAGGTTACTTTCCATAGAACCCCCGTTGTTGTTTTTTTCCATCCACAACTGGGCCTGGGAGGTAGAGCAGCTATTCTGTTCCCTTGGACAGAGGAGGAAGCTGAGGCCTGGAGAGAGGCTCTTTCTACCCAAGACTGGCCTCCCCGGACCAGCTGAGGTCTAGCACTGGCTGCAACAAGGGAGGGCCAGAGACTAGTCTGTTTTTAGCCAGGAAAGCAGAGGGGGTTACTAACCGGTCCCAGTTTTCTAAAATCTAGGCTGCTAGCTCTGTACACCCAGCTGGATACCTGTGGAAGAGCCAGGAGGGACAAGGGGTCCCTTTGGAGAAGGATGTTGGTTCTGTCACCAGGAGTGCACCCTAACATCCTTCCCAAGGATCATCTGAGGCTACCAGTCCCCCCCTGACCCCAGGCCCGGATCACTGGGGCTCTGCGGAGGTCTCCAGCCCCCTCCAGGGAGATCCTGCCAAAAAGCCAGAAGAGAAATGAACATTCTCAGAGAGAAAATCTGATGGCAGGGAAAGTAACCTTCCCTGGGATTTCCCAGCACCTGTCCCAGCCCCGCTTTTGCTAGGTTGCAATTTAAACACTAGTCCCTGGTTTTCAGCGTTCATTGCAACAAAGTCTCATGAAGAATGCTTTTCCATCATCCAAAGCATTTGCTGACAACCGTTCAAATCATGCTTTGTATCATGCAACAGCTCCACGAGGTAAATCTTATCATCCCCACTTCAGGGGTAAGAAAATTGAGGCTCAGAGAGGTCACACCAGTTGGGGAAGGCACACAGTAAGTGTCCAACTGCTTCCAGATCCTCTTCCTTTGAAAGTTTTACTTTCCTGAAACCTCGATGCACTTCCTATTGGGAACCACACTCTTGGACTGGAGGGCCAGAAAACGTCGGCTAACTGTGATGTCCAGTCCAGCCATCACGGTCCCCCAAGGTCCCGAGAGACTTGCCTTCCGCCTTCCCCTGTGGCTTCTGATCTCTCTCTCACTTTATTTTTAACTGTTTCCCTGTGTGATTTAAGGAAGCTCTTCAAGTTCCCTTTGAATCGTAAATGAAATGGACTAGTCTTGGTAGAGAATTTACAGCACTAGAAAAAAAGGGGCGCCTTAGCTGTAAGGAAATCACCCTGTGTTTCTGGCATGAACTCCTAGCTGGGGAACCCTTTGGCCCCACTTTATGGGAGGAAAGGGAGTCTGGCTCCATTATTAAAGAGGGAAGGGCACAGGCTCAGATGGACAGAAGACACGCTGCAGGCCACTCAGAGGAGCATGCACAGCCTCCGTTTCCTTCTTCCCTGCCACCCACTCCTGCAGAACTTCCCCCTCCCAAAGCCAACAAGCCTCCGCAGCTTCTCACAGATGCGGCGAACTGCTCTGCTTGGTTCAACCTTGAGCAGCTTTACCACTGCCGCCCACGCATGCCCACAGGCAGAGTTATCTCAGGCAGCCAGAGCCACGCTGAGCACCCAGGCACAGGGGTGCAAGTGTGAGGAGCTAGGGCTCCAGGCACCTGCCTCCATGGCCCGTCCTGGCAGAAAGCCCACTTTGCTGTGAGTTTTTTCCTTCCAGGCAGAACAAAACGTATCCAGCTCCAATCCTTGTCATTTTGCCTTGGCCAGGAAAAGTGTGGTGAGCTTAGCAGTTAAGAATTCCTTCCCTGTAGCCAAACTGCCCAGCACCGCCATTGTGGGACTGTGAGGCCTCGGGCATATGCTTGAACCTCTCTGTGCCTCCATTTCTTCCTCTGAAAAACAGGGATGCTGATAATGGGTTTCAATTTTTGGAATTGTTTCTTTTTTGTTTTCTTTATTGATTTTAGAGAGAGAGGAAGGAAGAGGGAGAGAGAGATAGAATCATTGATGAGAGAGAACATTGACTGGCTGCCTCCTGCATGCCCCCCACTGGGGATCAGGCCCACGACCTGGGCACATGCCCTGACCAGAAATTGAACCGGCGACCTCTTGGTGCATGGGTCGATGCTCAACCACTGAGCCCCACCAGCTGGGCTGGAATTGTTTCTAACAGTACCTGGCACAGAGTGAACCAACCCCCCTCCCAGAAAATGTTAGTTATTGAGTTATCTTTCTAGAAGAGTCTTTGTGCTTTGCAGGACTGGGTGTTTCCACTCTAGAACAGAATTTTTCAATAGCAACAGCAGCAGGTTGTGACACGTTAACACACTTGTGTACCGACGATCCACTCAGCGGGTCAAGGTTATGACGACGAAGCAGCTGAGACAATAAAGGACTGTATTCGGTGTAACAAGAGTGGGCGTCACCCTCAGGGCTTTTGTGTGCCCATCAAGTCAAGATGTCAAGTGCATTTCTGTTTTAAATTGATTTTGAGAGAGATGTGTTGTTCACTTACGTTTGCGTTCACTGCTTGATTCTCCGATGTGTGCTGACCGGGAATCCAACCCGCAGCCGTGGCGCATCGGGCAGCGCTCTGCCAACTGAGCTACCCGGCCAGGGCTCAGACGCAGGTCTCATGTGCCCTGGACAGCATGAAGGTGTCGCAGTTCATGGGAAGCACAGAGCGTTGGGGGTTCCTGGGAAAATCTGACTTGGGAGGATACCGTCATCGGCGTTCCAGAAACACTGAACCACTGAAACTAATGCAAAGTGATAGCGGATGTCGTTACTGAAAAGTCTTTTTACGCTTAAATAAGAAAAGAAGGTCAAAACTGGAAAGATAAAATTCATCAAATAAAAAAGAGAGAGATGTTAGAGGGGAAAAAAAAAAAGAAGAAGAAAGAAAGGAAAGAAACAGCAGTTGGCTTTTAAACAAATCTTCTACTGCTGTTGCTCCAGGGAATTGTGGAAGGGGACGGCGGGGGGAGGGTTGGGGTCACGAGGCTGATCCACCCTCTCGCCTCATACCCTGGGGACGACCCAGGCTTTGCAACACTGACTCTTCCCAGGGCTGCATTCTGGGCTCTGGGGTACAGCGCTGTAGCAGCCGGGGACCCGCCCTCCCCTCCTGGGGCTTACACTCAGGTGGGAAAAGAAACTATGAAAATAAAAACAAGACACAGTGTCGTCAAGTAGTCAGTACTGCGCAGAAACATCGGGCAGGTTGAAGGGGAGAGGGCTGGGGGAGGGAACCCTGGAGCCCGGGAGGCCTCTCTGAGGTCAGGACGTTGGAGCAGAATGACTCTGAGCTGAGGGAGGACGGGCCTGCGGTGTCTGCAGGACCAGGGCAGAGGGGCTGAGCTGTAGCATGTGGAGGACCAGCCAGAAGGCCAGGCAGGCTGGGGGGAGCCTCTGGGGAGGGGGCAGCTGGGAGGGGATTTGGCTGAAAGTGATGAGAAACAGGAGGGTTCTCACCTGAGCTGGGAAGTGTTGGGCTCGGATTTACGCATGAAAAAATCTATGACGCGCACAGGTATGTTCTTGCCCTGCCAATTCTAGTGTCCTGGGAATAGTAACACCAGGGAACAGTGAGGGTATGCCCGGCGCTGGATCCGGGTTCCCAACCCCATTCTGCTCAGTGAAAGGCCTTGGAGAAATGGCCGATTCTCGGATGGGGGCAGGAAACTGATAAGCCGAGCCTGGAGCATCTTAGAATGCCAGACCCAGTCAAGAAGTGCCCCAGCCTGGCCCGTGTGGCTCAGTGGACTGAGCGTCATCCCATGGACTGAGAGGAGGTCCCGGTCCGATTCCCGGGCAGGGCACATGCCCCCGTTGTGCGCTCGATCCAGTGGGGGGTGTGCAGGAGGCGGCCTATTGATGTTTCTCTCCCACATGGATGTTTTTCTCGCTCTCTCCCTTCCTCCCTCTCTAAAAAATCAATGTCAATAAAAACACTTTTTAAAAAAGTGCCCCAAACAACACAAACCCCACGAAGATGGGGCCCTGCCCAAGGGACATGGTAGTGACCTGAACAAATTTCCAATGGTCAAATTTGGGACAAACTGAGCAATAAAAGAAAGCCAGGCTGGTGTGGCTCAGTGGTTGAGTGTCCACTTACATACTAAGAGGTCATCAGTTCAATTCCCGCTCAGGGCACATGCCCAGGTTGTGGGCCTGATCCCCAGTGGGGGGCATGCAGGAAGCGGCCAGTCGATGTTCTCTCTCATTGATGTTTCTATCTCTCTCCCTCTCCCTTCCTCTCTCTCTCAAATCAATTTTAAAAAAGTATTTAAAATAAAGAAAAAGGAAGTAGTATTGGATTAGCATCTTCGGTATAGAGTTCAGACAGATATAAAGTAATGATTGACTGCCCTGGCCGGTTTGGCTCAGCGGGTGGAACATTGGCTTGCAGACCTGAGGGTCCAGGGTTCGATTTCCAGTCAAGGGCCTGGGTTGCAGGTTTGATCCCTGGCCCAAGGACCCCCAGCCCCAGCAGGGGTCAGTCGTGTGGGAGGCAACCAAAAGGTGTGCTTCTCTCACATTGATCTCTCTCTCTCTCCCCCTCCTTCTCTTCCACTCTATTTAAAAATAAATGGAAAAATATACTTGGGTGAGGATTAACAACAACAAAAAGACTGACTAAATAAATGAGGGAGACTTATCTAGTCTCTTGTAGGGAATTCCAAAGAAGTATGTAGATACCTTGCCTGCCCTCAAGAAAGAGCAGCTTTTCAAGTCCCCACTCCCTGTGCTGGTGACTTCCTTCCACAGAGGACAGGGTGAAGGGAGCGCAGAGCTTCCTAGTGAGGACGCTGGGCGAACACCGCCTCAGCCAGGTGACCGCGGTCAGTATCATCATGATGACTCATGTTGACAGCAGGCGCCCTTGACATGATGAGACAAGAATGATTTTGGCCCTGGCCGGTTTGGGAGCGTCGGCCTGCGGTCCGGAGAGACCCGGGTTCGGTTCCCACGAGGGGCATGTACCTCGATCGCAGTGTGTCCCCGGCCTTGGTTGGGTCATGCGGGTGGCAGCCACTCGATGTGTCCATTTCACGTCGATGTTTCTCTCTCTCTCTCTCTCTCTCCCTCCCACTCTGTCTGAACAAAATATCGAAAAATGTCCCCGGGTGAGGATAAAAAAAGTATGATTTTGGTTCTGTGGGCTTCCTTCCGGGAACCTGTAAACAGGAGTCTAGTCCCGAGAGAACACGCACCCACACAGAATGAGGCCAGCCCACAACACCCCTGACCAGTCCTCAGATCACAGACAAGGAAACCTGAGAGCTGTCAGCCCAGAGGAGCCCGAGGAGCCCAGGAGCCGGGACGATGAAATGTCACGCGGTGTCCGGGGCGGCTCCTGGAGCAGGAAAGGGGGCGTTAGGTAAAAGCTGCGTTGACCTGAATGAAGTACAGACTAATAGACTTATTAGTAATGTGTCAATATTGGTTCATCGGTGGTGACAAATGCACCACACAACAGGGGACGCTAGCAGTGTGGGAAACTAGGTACGGGGATGGGAACCACGGCTCTGGAAATGTAAACTCATTCTAAAAGGAGAGTTCCTTAAAGAAAAGCATCAGGACGGTTGGGGTGGGGAGGAAGGCAGGACCGGGCCAAGCCCTGGGGGCCGGAAGGCTGTGCCGAGGGCAAGGGCATGATGGTAAACAGCCTGGAATACAATGGTTGCGGGGGAGGGGCTGAGTCACACAAGGGAGAGAGAGAGACCAGCCCTTGTTCCCAGCCCTGGAGAGTCTGCCCTTGGACTCTGATGGAGGTGAGGATGGAAGGTGTTTTTGTTTGTTTGTTTTTGTTTTTTATCCTCACCCGAGGATATTTTTCCATTTTTTGTACAGATAGAGTGGGAGGGAGAGAGAGAGAAACATTGACGTGAAGGGACACATCGAGTGGCTGCCACCCGCATGACCAACCAGGGCCCGGGGACAAACTGCAACCGAAGTACGTGCCCTTAGCGGGAACCGAACCCAGGTCTCTCCAGACCGCAGGCCAACGCTCCAACCGCTGAGCCAAACTGGCCAGGGCTGGAAGGTTTTTTTGAACCTTCTCTGGGGACCCTGAGACTCAGCTCTGCCCCCACCCCTTCTAGCCCATCCCCTCCTCTAAAAGTGGGGTGGGTTACTCCAACCTCAGTTGTGAGGCTGAGAAGAGCCTGTTGACAGGTGGGGGTTCCTGAGCCCCATCCACATAAGCCCTGGGTGGCTAGCTTCCCCTTCCTATGACCCTGTAGTCAGGGGACAGGAAGGCTCTGGGGTCTACTGGACAAGCAGTAGCAGTGACTTAGCTCATGAACCGAACGTGTCACCTGGAGGGTCTGCTTTCTCCCTTGGGCCACGACTGTCCAGAGAAAGTCACGGGCCTTCCAGTTGATGCAACAGTACTGTCACAGAAAATGGCCATCCAGAGACCTGTGGCATCCCGGAAAGCGGTCATGTCAGCGCGTGGCCAGGCTCCGGCAGCGTCCCCTCTGCGGGGTCACACTGCGAAGTGCTGCGTAGGCACAGGGCTCGGTCCGCAGGGCCGTAGAGCCGTAGAGCCGTGGGGGAGGGTTAGGGTTACAGATGTTTTCCGTCCACTTTCCCCTTCTGTTCTCAGCAAGGGGAGCCAACTGGGACAGGGCAGGTGAGGGCAGCACAGCGCTGGGGGTGGATGCCAGTTCCTCCCTCAGGGACCCTTCCCTGCACCGCGTGGCTACCCGGCAGACAGTCTCTGGTTCAAGACCTTGCCTTTGAGCCTGTTGGCCAAGGGGTGGTCACCCGGTCCCAGGTGAGCCAAGCAGTGGTTTCCCCAGGAACACGGGTCAGAACCCATCGAAGGGTGAGTCAGGTTCCCGACTGGGGCGCTGGGACACGGGAGCAGGGGAGCTGTGGGACTTACCTCGTCATCTGTCAAAAGGCCTGAAGGAAACAGAGAGAGGCTGAGAGAAAACCCTGAAGCAGAGAGGAAGAGGGGCAGAGATGAGAGAGAAGATTTCGGGCAACTTTTCAGCTCCTGGTCCTTGTACGTTTTTGAGGCCCCTCTGCATTCTTGCCCTGGGGTTCTTTTGAAAGCCCCCCATCCCCTTACGCCTCACTCCCCTATTCTGCTGAACATCGGTGTCCCTTTCCTGGGGCTGCTGTGACACGTCTGAGTGGCTTAAAAACAGCAACGTGTTCTCACGGTTGCAGAGGCAGTAAGTCTGCAGAGAAGGTGGTGGCCGGCAGGGGTGGTTTGTCCAAAGGCTCACAGGAGGGGTCTGTCACTCCTCTGTCTTATCTCCGGGTGGCCGCCTGCGGTCCTTGGAGGTCAGCGGCTTGGAGATGCATCACTCTAATCTCTGTCTCCACCTTCAGAAAGCATTCTCCCTGTATGTCTGTGTCTCTGTGCAAATGCCTCCTCCTTACAAGGACACCCTCATCCAGCGTGACCTCAGATTAACGCACTTGATCTGTAGAGACCCTATTTCCACTTAAGGTCACATGCTGAGACTCCAAGTGGGCATGACTTTGGGGAAGACAACATTCACCTCGGTGCAAACCCTCGAGTTGGTTTACGCTATTTGAAACAAACAAATCCCGATTAATACATAAATTGGCATCAGAGGTGTTGAAAGAGACAGTTTTTCAAAGAAAGGGTTGAAATGAGAGGTCTTGCGGCACCGTGGGGGGCAGTGAGGAGTCCTTATTCCTGGATGGGACGCTGACAGTTCCCGCCACTTGGCAACAGACCAGCTAAACTATTTTCAATGGTCTCGTGGGACTCAGCGCCTGCGCCAACAAAGCTGCAGCCCGGCCGGTGTGGCTCAGTGGACTGAGCATCGTCCCGTGGACTGAGAGGTCCCGGTTCGATTCCTGGTCGGGGCACATGCCTGGGTTTCGGGCTCGGTGCAAGGGGCAGCCGATGGACGTATCTGTCACATGGATGTTTCCATCTCTCTCTCTAAAAAATCAATAAAAACCTTAAAAAAAAAAAAAGAAACTTGGTAACAGAACATCCAGGCAGGGGATATGCCAGTTACCTCCAGCAGCCTTCAGAAGGTGCTGGGAGTCGGGCTTCCGTTCAGTTCTGCCCGAGATCAGGAAAAGGCAGGGCCAATGTCCCCCTTTGTGAAGGGGAGTCCTTTTTCCCTGTAGCCGGTGACTGCCCGTGTCAGGTGACCGTGCCCCTGCTCCATGGCAGCAGGCGCGTTCCCGACACGCCGTGTTCATGACACCACGGTGGGCACACTGAGCAGGACAGCCTGTGAGCTCAGCCCTTGGACTGGGGACACCTGGGAAGAGCCACAGGAGTGAACAACCCTCTGGCGCCTCTGAAGCGGCGCTGGTCACTGGTCACATGGCGTGAGGCCAGGCAGGGGTAGCATTCCAGGAGAAATGGGAGAAAAAGCCTTCCTTCCACCCCAAGTCAGTCGATAAGCTCCTCTCCCACCTGTAGGTGGAAAGAAGAAAACCCTAGCCGGGCCGTGGGGCTCAGTGGCTGAGTATCGACCCTCGCACCAAGAGACTGCCTGTTTGAGCTCTGTGAGCCCTGGCTGGTTTGGCTCAGCGGTTAGAGCGTCGGCCTGCGGCCCAGAGGGACTTGGGTTCGGTTCCCGCTAAGGGCGCGTGCCTCGGTTGCAGTTTGTCCCTGGCCCTGGTTGGTTGTGCGGGTGGCAGCCACTCGATGTGTCCCTTTCACGTCGATGTTTCTCTCTCTCTCTTCCTCTCTCTCCCTCTCACTCTATCTGAACAAAAAATGGAAAAATGTCCTCAGGTAGGGATTAAAAAAAAGAGATTTTCTGTTTGATTCCTGGTCAGGGCACATGCCCAGGTCGTGGGCCCGATCCCCAGTGTGGGGCACGCAGGAGGCGGCCAATTAATGTTCTCTCTCATCGATGTTTCTCTCTCTCTTTCCCTCTCCCTTCCTCTCTAAAAATCAATTTTAAAAAATTTTTTTAAAAAAAGAAGAGCCCTGCCCTGGCCAGTTTGGCTCAGCGGTTAGAGCGTCCGCCTGCGGTCCGGAGAGACCCGGGTTCGGTTCCCGCTAAGGGCATGTACCTCGGTTGCAGTTTGTCCCCGGCCCTGGTTGGTCGTGCGGGTGGCAGCCACTCGATGTGTCCCTTTCACATCGATGTTTCCCTCTCTCTCTCTCTCTCTCCCTCCCTCCCACTCTGTCTGTACAAAAAATGGAAAAATGTCCTCGGATGAGGATTAAAAAAAAAAAAAAAAAAGAAGAGCCCTGGCCAGTTTTGCTCAGTGGCTGAGCGTCAGCCCTTGGATCAGTGAGTCATGGGTTCGATTCTGGTCAAGGGCACATCTGTCGGTTGCAGTTTGTCCCTGGCCCTGGTCGGGATTGTTCGGGAAGCAACCAGCCGACGTGTCTCTCTCACATCGATGTTTCTCTCTCTCCCTCCCTCCCACTCCATCCGAAGATAAATAGAAAAATATCCTAGCGTGAGGATTAAAAAGAAAAAGTCTAAGGGTGAATATTGAACAGCCTTGGACAAGAGTTCCTGGAATTGGTTATTGGTAAGTGACATGACCCCCAAGAAAACTGACAGCAACCCCCTGGGGTTGAAACTCCAGGGAACTGGGAAACCTGGAACCTGGGGTTTGAAGGGCCTCACCCTCCAGCAATTCCTCGGCCCTCACAGCACCTACAAGGAGCAGGCTGCGGGGCAACTACACCCTCTGAGAAGAAGCCTTCCCAAGAATCTCCCAAGGGCAGGCCTGAAAGACTTTGGAGGAGGGATCCCTTCCCGATGGGCGGAGCTGGGGGCAGCGACGTTTGCTGACTAAGGAGCCAGCGGAGGTGACCGGCAAAGCTCACTGCCTGGGACAGCTGCGTCCTATGTTTGATTGGCTCTGTCCATCTAGA